TGAATCGTAGTTGCCTGATCGGTTGGTTTCTGAATCGGCTAATGACCCTGACCTGGGAATCAACATCAATCAAGATCACGTGGTTGCCACTTGAAATGTCCAATCCTGCCAAGGGACATGAATCTCCTTGGCCAATTTCGTTGCTCGCCTGCCTTTGTCGTGGCCAAGGCCAGCGCCGGATGCGCAAATTCTCCTCGTAGCCTCCACACAAGCAACAGGCACCACCCTCTCGGCATGTGGCGAGTTCACAAAGGACTGTTTTCAGCGGGTGGGCACTCCAAACCCAAAATTCCAGACCAGAACAAGAGGACAAGCTGCCAAACTGATCCATCTCAGGGTGATAGGGGTGTGCTATGGTGTGCTAGATTTGTCCAGGAAAAATCTGGATGCAGAGTTAACATCGTTGTAGGCCCCATCTCTGCAAGTGGGTACAATATATGTCCAACTGTTTTGACCTTGGAGTGTCACCCCAAGCTCATGCATCAGCTGCATCATTGTTTTGCTAAGAGTTGTCGCAAATAAACAAATAAAAACACAAAGACAAACACACACACACAAACACACTTCATCATCCAAATTGCAGCAAGCCTGAAGTGTCTGCCTTGTACTACATACATCGCCTCCGACGCTTTGACACGCTTTGACAATCCAAAACCACCAGAACACCGAGAGCCGCTCAGTGGGTTTTGCAGTGGGTCGCCTCCGCCGCGCTCGCGGGGCTTCGTTGCACTCTGCAGTGCGTTGCCTCAGCTTTCGACAGGGAATCAAAGAGATTGATACAAAACAACGGTGAAGGTGGTGATGGCGGTGGTGGTGGTGGCGGTGGCGGTGGTGGTGGTGGTTTGATGTATCCAAAGGTTTGAGGCCTCTGGCCTGCGGCCTTGATTGCAACTTGCCTAAAGTGAAGGAGAACAAGGAGCGGAAAGAAAGAAAGAAAGATAGATAGAAAGAAAAGGAAAAGAAAAGAACCTTATATACATTATCGATCCATATATAAAAATAGACAGATCAACGAAAACGGATGCAGCGGCCGGTCTGCTCTCCTGGCAGCCCAGATTTGGCTGAGCGGCTGCTGTTGGCTCGGGCAAATCGAGGTGGACACCCTTCACCTCAATGCCACCGGAGCACGGCGAGCTGCCAATAGTTCCGTGAGCAGACGTCACCCAGCAGTTTCTGAGGAAGTCATTGGACAAAATAAGAGAATGATATTTCATTGCGACCTTGACCCCCCAAAAGGAACGGAGAGTGAATCCCCTGTTGAACATCTTTGCACACCGTTTCTATGTGTCTATCTATCTAGTTGGGGACCACTATACATGCACTTGCAGCTGCTTCCCAACTGATGACTTCAGCCATGACAACCGCAGCAAATCCTGGCTTCACATGTCAGCACATCAGCCACATATGAGTCGATGGAACGATGTATGCGTTCCCGGGGGGGTTTCCTTGGCTTGAAGAAAAGCATCCTCTGCCATCTCCAACACTAGATCGCGTGGACCAGCAAGTTCAGACGAAAAACACCAAATCTCCCTATGTGTGAACTCTATTTATTCCCGGAATTCTGAATGGTATATAACTTACAGTATATAGCTTATATCCAACTGCTGTCTGACCAAGAACATAGGCAGTTCTCAACCTGCAAGTCCGTACGTCCGAAAATATTCCCACCACTCTCTTAGCCCAACTAAGCACCCACCACCCACCAAGAGGTTCCTTGCACGAACCACCAAGACTGTCTCCCATAACATCTACTGTACATGCTTCTACATGGCTGTTAGGCTCTAAATCCATGGGCCAACATCAAACATACACTCAAATCTGTCCTTGGGCTGTAGCTTTGCAGCCACATCTTCCTTTTCCAGTCTGCATCCAAAGTGCTGGTCTGACGGCCAAAGCCTCCGCGGTTCAGAGTGCTGTTCCAGGAAGAGAAGGTGGCAATGGTGCCGGACCTGAACAGTGCTGTAGACGAGGTGCACACATGAATTCGAAGATGAGGTCCACAAGCTAGGCAGATCTGAGCATTCTCGAGTTGTTGATGTCCTCACTTGTTGTTTTATGATCTGTTGTTTTGTTGCTTCAGTAATTTGTTGTTCTCATTTACTTTTGTGGCCTTTGTCTAGTAAGCTTGGTTCTAAGCAAAACTGTTCCAAGATGTTCCAAGTATATGGAACGTGGATGAATGTGGCACAGATTCTACTCATGTTGCTCCGAGTCCGTCGCGGACGGAGAAGACCATGACCATACCTTTGGGTATGACATGGTATGACCTTTGTTTACTTCGCTTTTCCCTGACCTCTGAAGGGGATGGCCATCCAAACATCTCCCAACCAAATCACAATGGCCACACGATGCTACAAGTTCCGTCGGTTTTGATCACGAGCCATTCCGTCGGAGTTTGAGCCACACTCGTGGTTTTGATAGACGGAATTCGATGCTGCACATCACTGCCATGACTAACAAATCATTACCTGCACAGAACAGAACACCACTGACCTGAAATAGACATAGACGTAGAATGGCGTAGACGTAGAAAAAAATAGTCATATAGAGTGATGCTCAAACAGATTCAAAAGCTGTCCACACATTCTTGTTTGGGATCCAAGAATGCACAAGAAGAAATCCTGGTAAAAGAGCATGTTGCACTGACTGTTGTATGATGATCTTGGATGTACTTGGGTCCCATACCTAACGCAAAAAAAAATCAACTGCTTCTCGTGTTAGTTGAAGAGATTTCCGAGCAAGACGTGAAATGAAATACAATCATTCTTCCTCCTTCTGACCTCTAAATCCCTGTTGCTTGTCTCCAGGCGTGCCTCTCCCGCGCGAAGATGTCCGGCTGCTGGTTTCCATGGGCCTAATCAGGGTCAAACCAGACACCCACCAGTGGAGTTGTGAGGCGACAAGTTCACTTTGGTGAGGCGACATGTTCGGTGCAGTACTGCGCCATCACCGCCAAGAAAAACACGCAGCGGGCTTCAGCTGGCTTCGGTTGATCCTTCCACATTCTTCGGTTCAAAATTGTGGCGAAGCGTCGAAACGTCTTTGGTGTCCTTCTCTCGAAAAACTGTCCTGCAGGTCGCCACTTGCATTACCCAAAACCCTTTTCTGAGCTATCCTTGGAACGATTAGAGCAGCAAAACCTTCTGCCAATCTGGACAACATGGAGAAGTCTTGAACTTGACCCAATTCTATCCTACCACATAAAACTTACACACTACATGTCCACACAAATAGGCTACAGGTTTCAACCATTCGTAGCTCAAACCCAAATTGGCCGAAATAGTCGACGAAAACCATGTTCACATGAAAATAGGGATTTCGGGATTCTCAAAGATGGGCAGGCAATCACACGGGCGACTCCCGAATGCTCCAAGTACTGAGCCACGTGACCTGCAAGACTTTGATTACATATTTTTTGTGGTCTATAAATCATACAGGCAACCCACATCGAAGTGGGAAGACATCGTTCAAGAGGAGCTCACTGTCTTCCAACAGGCCATTTACATCTTTGCCTTTGAGAGACAAAAACGCCTTGAATTCACTTGGCACTGGCACCTCCTTGCCCTTTAGACCTCTTATGACCTACCCTCACCGCCCGCCCGGTGCCGCTGTGCCTTGGCCAGCGCCGACTCCACGTGCGGCAGCGGCTCGTCGCCCATGGGCGAGGGCGGCGCCAGCGGCGCAGGGCCGTAGAGGTCCGGGCGGTGCGGCGCCAAAGGGCTCCAGGCATCGATCCGATGGACCACGATGCCTGAGAGGTGGAGGAGCTGGATGGAGCTGGAGGGAGCTGGGGAGGTGGGAGGAGGAGCGGTTTTGGGCCGATGACCAAGGCGGAGCTGGATCGATGCGAGTTTTCTCGGGATGAGATCTGGAGAAGGAATTCTGAAGGAAAGAGCGCATCGCTGCCTCGTCTTCGGAGAACAGCTCTTAGATCATCCTAGATCCATATCTGTCCTGAGATCAAGGCTATCCCTGATTTGTTGCATGGCTGTCCGTGATCCCTCAGAAGGCGATCTGCCCATGATGCCGCACCACATCTTTGTCCCCGCTACTGTGGTCCATGCACCTGACATACATAACATACACTACATTACTTTAAATTACATTGCATGCATCCATGCATCCATGCACGCATACATGCATTACATGCATTACATGCACTACATACATTACATACATAACATACATATACATACCATTGCATTGCATTACATTACATTACATACATACATACCTACATACATACATATGGCACCCCCGCAATCCATCCAAAACTTCAACTCAAACATTACCTCAAACAAATGACCTCAACATGTGCAGAATTCACTGTAAAACCACCTGAAAAGTGCAAAAAGGAAGGGGTCTTGGGGGGTATCATATATATATATACAGTATGTATATATCCATATTATATATTCTGTTCCAACGGCCACCGTCAAAAACCGCGGTGCCTACCCGCGGCCGTTCCCGGTCAGTCCCAAGTGGCTGGGCATGGACAAAAGCAAGGTGGCACCAAGCCTCAGTTGCTCAAAAGGTCGCTGGACCAAAGGTCGCCTGCTGTACACGATGCTGTCGACGAGATGCTGTCGACGCTCGTACACGATGTGTTGGACATATATATATATATATAGCGAGAGAGAGAGAGATAGAAACATGTGTTGTTGTCTGCTCGGCTCTTTGTGAGTGTTCGAGAGGTTCAGGATTGTGGGTATGTTGATGCATCTTGTGGTATTATATACCTCCTGTATTCTGGGATATCCCATCGACAGGCCCATTGGCCGTTGACTCTCAAAGGGGCTTCCGACGGTCCAGGCCGCCTACCCTTCTTCGCTGCTTCTGCTTGTCAGCTCGTTGTTCAAGGCTTCAACACACAAATAACATCAAATAACATCAAATAACAAATTATCCGAACTTAAACAAACATAAGCAGTATACTCGGGCACTTGCTTGCCTCCTCAAGCCGCCAACTGTAGTTTCTGGCATTCTCTTGAGCTTCAGCATACCCATCACACCCTCCATAAGCTTCCAGCTGGTGAACACTGACAAATCTGATCAATATTGATCAATGACATCTGGAATTGAGTTGTTCCACACTACCCGGCAACGAGGCACTCATCATCTGGCTGCAAAAGCCTCATCTGTGTTGTTTCGAAGCCTGGCAGGGCGCTGGTCGACGTGGTGCGACTCGCAAGGCTTGTGATGGCTTACGTCAGGAACGAGGGCTCGAGGGTGGCTGCATCCTTCTCATTGCTTCGTGATCGAAGTCTGAGGAGGTCGAAAGACGCGTGGTCCATGCGCTGGCCGCTGGCCATGCGGTCGTTGGCAGAGAGACTGAAAGCTCGGTTGGGGGGAGCGATTCGCAGGTGGAATGACATCAAATGCAGTTGGGAGGTCTCTGAACGTCTCTGCACCTCGTAGTACTTCACCTTTCCCAATATGAACAGAATACGGTGAACACGTGTGAATGTTTGCCTGCCGACTTTTCAGTGCTTGGGGGGTTGAGCATTCACCTCCAGTCCTTGAGGTCAACAACCTGCCTCATTGACCAGCCAGGTGAGAGTCAGTTCGAATAGAAATGCCTCAAAAGCCAAAAAGCTACAGCATTTTTTGAAGGGTATTGACGTTTCTATCACTTGTCTGAGCCTTTCGACTTGGGCCACCTCTCAAACTTCGTGAAGGCCCTGGCCACCCATGTCTCAGCTCGATCCCTTGTCCCACCTCGAATATCGCTCTGTTCCACGCAGTAGCAGCGGATGTGGGGCTCCACCAAGGAATGCTGGGAACGCAAGTCGCAAACGCGAAACATGAAGTAGTAGGCACCATCAATACATCCTTAGTCGCCGGAGAGGCGACGAACGACAGCGAGCGAGCGACGTGTCGACGCGTCCCGACGTGGACATGTCGAGCGACCATGTCACCTGACCATACCTGCCACAGAAAACGACGTGGTTCGGGTTCTTGTGGAGAGCTAAGGCTTGAAAGGGAAAAGAGTAGAAAAGTTTGATGCGCCTGGTATTTCAGATATGGTTTGGCGTGAATATAAATCTGCTCAACATGCGTGAATAGACTCTATGCCTAAGGCGAAGCAAAACATATTGCCATTCTTTCCATCAATCAGCCTTTCAAGCATGAACAAGGCAATGGTCAATAAGCCACTGCAAAACTCCTCCCCTACTTCTGACAGGACCAACGCTTCCAAACCATCCCAAGAAACGATGCAAGCACATGGCTTTCACGGTGCTTTCAGCCCGCGTTCGCCCAAACCAAACCGACCCGAAACCCCCGATCTTCGCCCCAGTGGCGGATGATGGCCTTCTCGCTGCACAGGATGGTGCAGGCGCGACTCTGCGGCCGGGCGATGCCCTCATGCCGCGGAAGTTCTCTGGACGTGGTCTCCATGAAGTCTCAAGTGGAGAGGATTTGATCTGTAACCAGGCTCTGAAAGATGTTCACTGGCATTCACTGAGGGGCAGGAGCCAGGAGCAGTACTCTAAGGTACAATTGAGATACATGCCGGAAGGAAGGTACCGATTGCACGTGCAGCAACATTAAAAGGTGGCGGTCAATGGCTATCAATATCAACGGTAAAGTACTAAGTCTACAAGGTGAAACCACCACCACCACCAACAGCAACAACAATCACAAAATCAAGGGGAGCATGATGTCGTTGTGTTTGCCGCTGTTAGCCAAAAAGGATCTTGTAGCGGGTACAGTACCGGTATATGCTAACCCCCCACACGGTTTACCTTTCCGTCCCAAACACTGATATTTGCCGTGTTTCATGCACACGTTTGACAGCGCTTTGATGACATGTATGTTATGTTGTAAACATCTACGCAATGCCATAAGCTCAACAACAGCTCATCCTGTCCTGGAAGATCACACCAATGAGAATGGCGCTTAAAATCAGATTCACCAGGACCTGTGTGGTGAGCACCTCGGCGCGCCCGACCGCCTCGCATGTGGGTTCCTGACGCCATACTTCAGCCCAGTTGAGTGGTGTGTCAACACAGCATCTATTAGCCATAACAATATCGCCGCCCATTTAAGTCATTGCCTCAGACGAACCACTGAGTGAAGACGAGTCTTAGCACCACCGCGCACGCTGCGTAAGACAAAGTCGTGCACGATCGAAACTACAGTTGACTGAATAGGTCTCTGACTGAGAGTGTCTATGTATGTCTATGTCATGTTTGAAACCTACTCTCTTCTTACATGCACACGTAGCATTGTGTCGGCGGAGCCCGGTCACTCTCGGAAGACTCGCGCGCCAGCGAGACCACACACGATCGAGCAAATGTCACGATGATCAGCCTTGATTGCTGTCAAGGCCTAGTGCAGCCACGTGCAGCCACGTGCAGGCTGTCTTGAAGAAAACCCCAAAACATCCTCTTGGGTCCCCAAGCAACCAACGTATGGAATCGTATGGAGCTCAACTTTCAGCAAGGCACGAAAGGCCCTTGCCAGCAGCCATTCATGTAAGGATCTGGTACGCCGTAGCCAATCGTCATCATGGTCTCGAGAGACAACAAGTACCTTAGCAGCTTCTGTCGTGCGTCGTGCGTGTTCCAAGCTCCATATAGACTAATATGCACATAGATATATATATATATATACCCAGATGCACTTCAAAACGCAACAACTTGCAAATGTTGTCCTCTCATTATTTTGGCTAAGCACTATCTTAGACGCACTCTATTTTGTGTAAGGTGTAAGATTCTGGACAACTCGGCAAGTCAACAACACTCACAAATGCAATGATCGGAACCCAACAATATTGGTCGGGTCTACACAGACACAGCACTGGGCCTGACCGTGTCAACTGAAAACGGTTCCGGAGTCTGCTCACAAAACCCACTGATCATGGCGAACTGAACACATTGACACATACAAGCAACAAACAATGAATGCATGCTTTGGAGAAGAAACCGCATCACTTTTAGTTCACTTCGTTACTCCTTACTTCCAACAGCCATTGAACTTGTGATTTCTTCTCAAACGGCCATGGCTCGCTTTCACCAGGTGCCCTTCCAGCTGAAGGTTGCAGGCCTTGCCTCGGCTTGCATCGAACGGTCTTCGCATCGGTTTTCGAATGCTTCGAAACCGTCACCTACTGCACAAGGTAAGGAATGCGAACCCAATACCTTCCTTTCCACCGGACCCTGAAGTCTGACGTCGGATTCATGACGAGTCCTTTTTCTTCATTAGTCATGGGGAGACCATGATTGGTCTGTTTCACCATGCGACAGGACCCCGATGGACCCCGTAACTGATGACCACAGCTCCAGAAGGGTAGGTGAAGGCTTGGCAGCGAATTTCCATGTCCAGGTTGTTTAGACGGATGCAGTCCTTACATTGCCTTACATGTTGAAACCAGGTACGAAGGCATACAGAAGAACATCGAAGAACAACTTGAACAGATTTGATCAGGAACCGCTGTTCAAGGGCCACGATATAGTGGCCAAATAGATAGAAAATAGAAACGGTGTCCAATGCATTTTTTTGTGGGGATCTACTTTTCGATCTAATTGGAGGTCCATATACCCGAATTGACCAATGGCGCTGAACGATTGGGCCACCGAAGTGACGACCAAGACCACAAAAAAAAGGAAGTCTGAGGCGGGATGCTTATCCCAAGGTATAGAAAGGCATAGAACCAAAAGAGCACGACGTAGAGCACCAGGAAGCAACCTGGACAGCCAAAAGGCACAAAAAGGGATCGCAGGATGAGTTCTAAGCTAAAGATGCTAAAGCACCGGGCGCAAGACTGTTCAGCAAAAACAAACTACAATAACCATAGCCTTAGCACAAAGAAAAGACATCATCTATAGCACATCCACACATGCGAACGTTCAGCAATGCTTTTTTGATCGGCTGTCCAAGGTCCAGTGATGTGCAGGATGTTGGCTTTTTCAAGCGGCTCAGCAAATGAGCATGCATTGAAATACAGTCAGTGCTGGACCCCCAAAGACCCATGACAAGGGAAACACTAGACGAACGTCAGTGGTTGGGGGGTCTCCCCCTTCAAAGACGCACCCACATCCAAGAATCTCGGCTGAGCGCCCAGACACAACTGTTTGCCGATCTTGGCATCCAGAAAGGTGTGGTACCAGTCCTGGAGTCAACGCCAGGACTGGAAAGCAAAAAATAAAACGGTGACAAAGTCATATATTTAGGGATCTTGTTGATCATGTCACTCCAAAGCTTGAAGCAGCACCAATCAACCAAAATGTGAAACGGGTCAGAGTCATAGTAATTGACAAAGCAACTAGCCAAGTCGGTTGGCAAAAGCGAATGCTGACATTGCGAGCATGTGTTCACAGGAGCCTCTTTTGGAAGTGAACAACTGTGTTGCTTAGTTTTGAGATAACTTGGAAAAAACAACTGTCCCAATTCAAGGTCAGAAGGTCAGAGGTTAGTTCGACGTGCCCGCCTTTTTCTCACCAACTCGTCACAGGTCGTTCGACCTGCTCTGACGAACGACGGTCCTCTAAGAGCAACGTGCTGACTTCCGCCATGGTATCTCGGGGTTTGCCACAGGCACCTCGGCGAGGAGAGAAAAAACGGCGGCCTGGGTCCCTAGGGGACCCATCACCAAGTCGCTGGAAGCTCCCCATTCAAAGGCACTGACTGTAGAACTAAACATGCTGTGGCTTTGAATGGATGGGGTAACCGTTTTTTTGGAGGGCTCCATCTTGGTCCATAAGGATTCGGTGTCTCCTTGAGGTGGTCAAAAGTATGGAAGGAAAATGGTACCTGAAATGTCATAAACTATCCCAGGCGGTGTCTCGCATGTCCTAGTTGCAGCATGTCGCAGCTGTTGTTTGTGGTAACACGGCTTCGAACTCCCTATCTCGCGTTGATGAGCACCTTCGGTGACAGGACGACAGCAGAAAACCCCGCGGACCGGCGGACCAGGATCCAAACTTCATCAAACGTCAAACCTTGTTCACATTAAAAATAGGATCTAAACAAGAGGCAACGGCCATGTCCTAGTCAAAATGTTGTTCAGGAACCCATTTCATCGGGTGTTCATCAGGTTCAAATCCCCAACAAGGCAAAACCATGCAAAACCCACATCTGCCACCAAGATTCTCCGCGTTCTGGACATGATGTTATGCAGAAGCCAGTGTCCGCGCGATTGTCCAAATGCCCCACGGCGGTCCTGAAACATTGGGCACAACGAGTTGTCCTTTTCGAAACCGGTGATCGACCTGATCTTCGCCCAGACCCAGGGCAACGTGGAATCCCTTCCCTTCGACACTGACACGGACCAACAGTTGATATGTATAATTATTGATGAACCTTGTTGAAAGGAGGAGCTCATCTTCAACAACAGTGATCAACCACCTGCTTCTCAGCAGAGCTGGGTAATGGTGCTCGAACACGCTCTCCAACTGAGCACTACCACGACACCGGCAACCCTGCCATCCGCCCTTCGCATGCCACCGTGATCGCCAGGCATCCATGAGCCGGAAGTCTGGGCCAATCTCCTCGCACACAGAGTTGGAGGCCTGGCTCAGCAAATGGTTTCTTCAACACCCCACCAACCCTCCGCACGTGGGGTAGCTTTGGGGGGAAGAACAAAACACATGAAACCTTGCTTGATCGAAAGGCCTCAACTTCTCAATGTTTCGAAGAGCCCGCCCAAAATTCTAACAAAAACACGACACAACCCTCACGCAATGAAGCTCACACCACGCATGGTTTTCATCTTAGATAAATATGTCTGCTCTATATTATGTGTATATATATACACATACATACAACAATTGTGAATAACATAAGTGGCCGCCTCGCGCGGCGCGGCACTTTCCAAGAAAGCACGTACTAAAATCACAAGTTTGCAGGCAAAACACCACATGGTTGTACCCTAGAACCGAAAAAACAGCAAGGGAGAGGCCAAATGCAAACATGGCCTGGCATCGCTCGAAAAGCGCACGACTCCCTGTCAAAACAAAACTGCGTCATGTAGGGCAATTCATCAAACAAGCCCAGTTGGAGCATAATTTGCCCAATTTGCTCACCGCCTGGTGGCCAGAGTGCTTTATATGTCTGGAACGCTCGACGCTCGCGTGAAATCCTCGAGCTGCTTCGGACGCTTCTGGCCACCTGCGTTTCCACTCTGCTGTCATGCCCATGGCAAGTGGGAATCGGAAGATTCTTCAGAAAATGAACCAGACGAAGAAACACAGCATACCTCCCTCAAGCGCTGGCAGTGGCGCTGGTCCAGACTCTTTTCTTCCACTGGCCCGTGGTGGCAAAACAAGTTCTGGCACTTTCTTTCTCTGTGGCCGTGTACGGGCCATTTAAGGTACAGACTTAAGTCGCCACCCCTCTGCAGGAGCGCCTTCGTTTGTGGAAGCGAGGGTAGTCGGATTGGAATGCCCTGCCGGCTCAAGCTGGCCCACGTCCTCTCAGCTTGGCCTTGGATACTCCGCAAGGCAGCGAAGTGCTGTGCCATGGATCGTAGCACTTGGGAAGGGCCAAAGCAGCCTTGCAGGTACCACCCTGCAAGGCGGCTCAATATGCATCTAACTGAATGGAAGGATCTTTAGGATGCATCTTGCACCTTCACGCCAAAACGCATGGGCACTGGTTCTATTCCCAAACAAGTCAACAATTGTTCTTACAACACTTGCCTTCAGAGGTTCGCCGAAACACACATGCTAGAGCAGGCAAAGGACACCTTGCTGCGAAGAACGCCATCTGCAATGCATGCAGCACTACAACCTCCTCCCACTGGCTTCAAGCAAGCAATAGCGATCACATGCGATCACTGGCGATAGAAGGGTCAGCTCGATGTCCTTGAGCCCTCTCACTTAGGCATCCGACCGTGCAACGACCGTGCAACTTGATTAGCCCAAAAGAGTCCAACGGGCAGTGGCGGAAAGAGAGCGTTTAGCACTGGCACAGACGGCTCAGCAGCAGCTTGCATTAGATTCAATGAGCAAGTCTTAACACAAAGTAGAACAAAATGATACTGTGCTGTGAAGCTGTGTGATGCCTGTCCACGAAACACGAAAAGTTCCGAAGAGTGCACAATGCATTTACTGTTCTCCGGAAAAAAGAACATTAAAAAAGAAACATCGAAAAAAGAAACATGTGCTCTGAATCAACAGGGTCCCCAGAACGCGGGCACGTACGGTTCGAACCGCGCAATTCGGAATGTATGATTGGAACGTCGGCACGCACGACGTACGATTGGAGGCCGTTAAGGTCAATTGTAAATATAAGTCCCTGAAACGCCACCATACCAATCATACTAGGGTGGAGACCATCGCTACTAGGGTGGAGGCCATCGCTAGTAAGTTGGAGGCCATGCTACTAGGGTGAAGGCCATCGCTAGTAGGTTGGAGGCCATCGCTACTAGGGTGGAGCAAGTTTCCCCCTCTTTCCTTCCATTCACATCCCCCCGCGCCGGTGAGATCGGCGTCTCGTGCAGGAGCCCGCCCACCGACTGCCGCATGCTCGCCATGCGCGCGCCGAAGCCGAACTTGTCCACGGGCGCCCCATTGGCACCACAGCCCTGGGAGCGAACAGGCCGGTGGACGTTCGACATGAGCCGCAGTACTCCAAAATCTACAGTATTACTTTGCACCAAAGGTCCCAAATGATGAATATCTTTGTCACTATCTTTGTCTTTGGCCCTGGTTTCTTTCCATGTTGTGGTGTGTGGAGTGTTCAAACTGCTTGCTCTCAAGCTTGCCCCAAAATTGATATGTACAGTGGAAGTATCTATATATATATATATACAGTATATGATTATACATTTAGTGCCATCCCAGTTCACTCTGCTTGTGAGAAGTGTTCCTGGATCAGGCACTACTGGGTGTAGGCCTTGCAAATCTCCATCACCATCTAGCATGGACAACCTTCGACACTTTTTGCGAAATCCTCATGCCTATGAATGCATCTGTTAGTGCGCATGGCCAAACACCTTCAAGTGTCCTCTGGAAGCTCATTGCTTGATATAAATGTCAGATATAAGAAGTGTAGTGTAGCCCATGGATATCCTAGATTTGGGTGGTCCCATCGGTCTTACCTGGTGTTGGATTTCCAATGCTTTATTGTATGGTATCGGTTTGCGGTGGCTCCCCCCGTCGATTTTGGTTCTTCTGGTCTTGGTTGTCAATGAAAGTCTCCAGTGAACGGAGGATTTGGAGAATCAACTGCCGCTTCATCCCCACGGCGTCCACCCTGAAAAAACACCACACAACATGATATAGATAATCAGATACTCTAGACACATGCACATGCAGTCACATACACCATCGTACGCTAGTACGCTAGTACGCCAACACGCTCGCTCATTAGCACACTCTCTCTCTCTCTCTCTCTGTCTCTGTCTCTCTGATTCATTCGGTCATTACACTGGGGATCTTTGCAATCAATCATCCCCCCCGAGTTGTCCGAACGGTGTAGTTGTCTCTCCTTCGCATGAGGCACCAGTGCATTGGCCGCCGTGTTCTTCACCTGTCATAGAGGAAATGGTTCAGCCCTTGGAGCAACCTTCAATGGGGGACAGGGGGAAGAACGGTCTGCTTCCACTCGACATCCATTCATTGAAACCAGCAAGGTGCGGGCCACACAGCATCCTGAACTCATCTGAGAAGTGCAAGCGAACACAAAGCATGCTGAAGCGCCATATTTCACCCAAAAGAAGGACCTCCTGACAAAAAGTTGGAACACAAACAATTTCCTTCAGAACTTCTTGGAAAACCTCTTTGTCCCCTTTGCCCTTTCGTTGTCCGTATCTTCGCCTGCATCTTCCGGACCTCGGCATCTTCACCGGAGCCCTATGTGTAAAGAAAGTATGAACTCGGTCTACTTGTGGGGCAGTTACCAATGCTACCAGTACCCCCATAGGCCCCATAGCCACACACTACTGTCAGTATTGTAGTCAGGTGCTTTGAGTCAAATTGAACAGTTCTGCAAGTCAACAGGGTTGTCTAGCAAGCCCTATCTATTTACGTACGGCGGCCGTGATGTCAGGTCACGGGAAATCGACTGGATGGGGTCATGCACCCTCGCCAAGGAATATTAAGCTAAGAAACTTTGATCTCTGCTTCCACTATCCTTCTACATAACATCTTCTAACTGGCTTCACTCGCCTTCTGCACCCTCGCCATCCGCTTTCTCCGCTTTCTCCCAGTCTGCATAGCCTTTCTCCCACCCAAACCTCCCACCCAGAACCGCCCTCGGAGGAGGCGCCACAGACTTGAAGCGCCGCCGGTTGGGGGTCTTCTCCCCGGTCTCCTCGTCCGGCTTCTCGGCGCTGGTGCGCTTGTCCACCTCGTCCGGTCGAGCCACGGAACATGTGCATATATGTGCCCACAATGGATCATTGATGATCATAGTGTGCATAACCTTGATTCCAGCCCTATGTAAACCAGTGAATGCACCCTTTGTGGTGTTTGATGTGCAAAGACATGATCAACGTTTCCCTGGGGTCTGTTCATTTAACCCCACGGCGTAACTCGGCCCCCTTTTTGCAGAATCCTGGTGGTCAGCACAGCAATGGGATCCAACAAACATGCAATGCTGGAATGCAGGTATATACCGTATACCGTATACCCCATTCCCTGCAACAGTGGGTGATGATGGTCAGCAAAGGCCTCTCTCTAAAATAGTTTGCCGACTGTTACAGGGTAATAGGACACCTTGAAGGAATGAATTGGGCATGGAAGCAGATACATCGCCCCGTACTTGTTGCTCTGGTCAATCTTGTTCCTTCTTACTTCTTCGCCTTCCTTCGGCTTCTCCATCATCTTCCTCCTCTGCTTCTTAGTCATTGGCGATCATTGCTCGGGCAACAGAACGCCCCGGTCATTCTCGTTCATGTGTCTCATTCAGCAAAAAACGGCGCGTCGGGACCTCGGCCGGTCGTCACCCGAGTCAACGTCGCCGTCGGTGCGACCGGTGGAACCCCGCTGGCCTCATCGTCGTTGCCGTCCCATTCCTGCAGACGTCGACGTGAATAAGGATGAAAGGACTCCTATCGACTGAGCATGCCCCAGCCAAGCAAGAAGATCTCCCTCGACTCGAAAATTGCTCGAGTTTGGGTCCAATTTCAGTTGAATGATGTTGAATGGTTGCTTTCCTGGGGAAGCTGTTAAAATGATCCGGCCAAGCTCTCGACATGGGACCAACCTTACATTACCTATGTTAAATATTGCCTAGTGTGCACAGAGGGCTTGGTGTGGCTAAAGCATGCTAAAGCTTGTGACGCCCAAGAAATAGTGGCCCCTGGCACCTGGAGTGTCTCAACCACCATCTGTTTTGGCACATGGAACAGTGCAAAACCCGGCGTAATTCCTGTCGCCCAATCAGATTGCCTGATGCCTGATACCACCCAACGGCACACGCCCCCCCGAGCCTCGGCTCGCTCGTCGTTGGACAGCAGCGCCTGCGTGATGCGCCCCGCGATGCTCCTGGAGAGGACGGAGAGGAGGAGGGAGGTCGCTGGGTGGTTGGTTGGCGGAAAACATGCTTTTGACATCTTTTGACCATATCTGTGATGCACCACCCGGACCCAGAGAGAGAATGCAGCCACGAGGTTTCTCCTGTGAGGATGTCCGAACATCACGGCATGGCAAGGTCGGTCACAGGGATGAGATGCGCGATGCGCAAGCAGTGCTTGATCATCCCTCAAGGTGACCTGGCCTGGCTTGCAAACCTTGTTCTGGCTGGCCCTCGAATCCTGTACCATGATGTAACATGTAGAGTGCTCCATGATACTCCGACTTGCGGTCTCATCTTCAAAGCGGGCAAACTGAAGAACATCTCCGTTGCCTGTGGTCGCACTTTCTCTCTGATAGAAGCGGTCTGAGTGGTCAAAAAAGACACACAGGCAGGTTAGAAGCACAAGTACCGGGAAACCAAGCACAAGTACAGGGCAAGAATTACATTCAAGTGCTTGACCATTGGGCCATCGGGTGGTGAGCTGGAAAGCTGGCAATTCCCATGCCCTGCTCTCTCCTCGATGCTGTGGTCGATAGATCGATCGGTTCCAAAACTCGGATCCACGGCGATTGAAAAGCCCTGCCGGAATCGTCAGCATCAGTGGTGTTGTGGTGTTGCCAGTTCTGAAGCTGTACCTTGTGTGCTTTTCTTCGGCATGGCATGATCCGTTCAAACCTAATTTTAATGTTCAAACCTGAAGCACTGAGAGGGGGGCCTAAGTTCCGAGGATCATTGGAGGATCATAATCTGATCTGATGGGAACATCCACTCAGCGCTGTCTCTAGGCCCTCCGAACAAAGTGTTTCCGGGCCCATGGCAATGGAGGCTTCGCCTGGCGTGCTTTCTCCACAAAAATCACCAGAGATGGCCACATGAACTACGAGCAACACCTGGTAGGAAACCCTTGACACCGGAACGCCCCTTTTCACACCCCACTATGAAAACTTCCAACGGCTTTGGTACGGTTGTTAAATCCCTTCATCAAGATGACATTCATCTCGTTTTGCATCAAAATAAACAGATGCTTCATCACTATGGGATGTTCTTCACTGGCTTAGATTCCTCTAGAATCCTCCGCGCCTGCACTGCCACGTTGGGCCGGTTGGCAACGCACAAGGCGTGCTTCAAGGGAGCCTTAGGTAAGTTGACGTGACCTTTTCCAGCTAAACCCCAACTACTAACCCTTACTTTTGCTGGCTGGAAAAAGGGAAAAAGCAAGTTCTGTAAATCGTCAGTGCCTAATCTGAATCTGCTGGGCTTCTGCTTGAAGATCTGAATCCAACATGACCCTTCATGATCGTACTGTATGCGGTTCATGAGATGAGACGTTCCCAGGGGGCACAAAGCTTGTTTGGACACACCACCTGGAGATCTCCCATCATTCTCATCAGTTAGATGGCGCAAGGAAAAGTATCAGGTGCACATGGAGAGTTGCAAAGGATCAAAACACTCAAAACCAACCCCCTTCCAACCTTCCAACAGCATGAACGTGTGTTGGGAATGAGCCACTCCACGCGACGACGCACAAAAAGAACACCAAAGGCATCACTTGTCTTGCTTCCGGCTGTTTTTCAGCCTTTGGCGCGGAATGTGAGCTGTTCTCTAGGCGGCCGGTGCTTTTGAACCGACCTCCAAGCTTCTCTTGAAGTCATCGATGTCGTCCGTTGTTCAAGCGCTCGCGCAGTCTCTTCAACGAGTTTTCTGTTGACTGCAAAAAGCGCTGCGCCTGCGATGACAAAGAGCCCACCTTCGATGATCCTCGCTCCTTCGACGCGGCCTGCGCGGCCTTCGCAGCCGCTTCAATGTGGTCAGCACTGCTTTCGCCCAGCTGCAAGAACTGTCCAAACACCCGTCGCACCGTGGGATGTCGGATGTGTTCCAAGCGCGGAGCGGCGAAAACGCCCGCTCGCCGCAAGAAAGCCAATCCGGTCGTTCCGAGCCAAGCGTCGAGCAGCATTTGCAAAAGCCCCATGGCCGGTGGACAAGTGGACCAACGGGTGAAGTCAGAAGTTAATCAACTCTAGAAAGCCAACAGAATGAACATGAATCAACCGCCTGGGCCGCCTGGAGATTATATCACCAAAATCCTCTTGGAATCCTAAGCATGACCCACTGAGCTGGTAGATGTGGTTGTCCCGCCGCATTTGCATTCTTGTTTTGAGAACATCTACCAACAGAATGTTATCAAACACCTTGAGCCAACATTGGCAAAGGAACCTAGCAAAGAAACAAGCAGGGGGATCCATGTGTCCGAAACGGATTTCCTTAAGCAGGCTGTTGGCCTTTAATCTTCCCATGGCCTTCATGTGCTTGACCAAAGAAGAATCTCGGGATTCCTTCAAGTGGTCAAGGGCTCCAGGATACTTCAGGTGTCTGCGGCGAAAGGGCGTTTGTTATCGTGTGGAACCCAAATCCATCACAAGTTCACATCTTTTGCTCTTCTTCTTTTCATCACAGGGACTTCCATGAGAGCAAACCACTGCAGCCCCACAGTCGGGATTCTTTCAGCGCGATCGCAGAAAGCTCGTCCAGATCGCAGAGAAGAATCAACGGAGGCGGCATGCTTTGTTTTCAGAGCAGCCATGTGGGGCCAAACTGATCCTCAACTTCATGATCAAAGTCGTGACCTCATCCCTGCATTGAACAAGTTCAGAGAATGAGTGGTGCAGGAATTGACCAATTGAACTCAATATTCAGCCTAATTGAGGATGCCAAACGAGCCGCGGCCAAAGAAGACCATTAATAGAATCGTGGACCTGGTGTTGTAGAAAACAATGGTGGTTCGGTAAAAACCTTTAAAATAATAGTGGTTGGAAGCCCATCCTCAGCACCAACTCCGCGACCCGTCAAATGTCAATATTAACTCAAAATCTTTCGAGCAAAACTGCGCTCTTCCTGTCTCTGCTCCGATTGAAGTCCTTACTCGCCCATCCTCATTCGCCCATACCGTCGACCATCTCCGTCGCTGCCAGGGCACGCGTACGGGCGGCGTCATGCGCTCGGTGGGCCACAGCGGCGGCCGACTGAGTCGCGCGGTCCTGAGGCGAAGATTGGAAAGTCTCGGCGTTTGGAGCATCTAAGAATCTATGAAGGGTGATGTAATGGTGACAAGAAGCTACTAGGTGGAGGCCATCGCTATTAGGTTGGAGGCCATCGCTACTAGTGACAAGAAGCTACTGGTAGCAAGGTGGTGGCAAATGATACTTCGCAGAGTTCTGACATCTGATCCCACGTCTAGCATGAGATAAGTCATGAACGAAAAGACCAACTCGACCGCCACTGTTCGTTCTGCCCACACCTGCTGAGGCCAATTCACATCTTGAGAGTTCTGTAGCGCAGCGAATACCAAGTCCTGCTGATCAAAGCCTTCATCTATATAAAAACTTAAAGTATGTTTGCTTCCGGATGAAGGGTGTTCCGGGGACAATCAGCCCAACCATGGTGTCGTGTGCGTTCCAAAGGAGGAGTGGTCAAAGCAGTGATCCATCAGGGTCCACCACCAGTGTGTTGTCGGAGTATTTCGTTCGATATCTCGTTTTTGTCATTATGTGTCATTATATCGGTGCAACCTAAAAAGAGGCTCCTGCTACTGGGCTTATGCTAAGCGTAAAAAAATGTCTTGTTTTTGTCTTTACATCAGTCAACTGGATCTGAATAAAATGTTCATCCAGTGGTGACTCAAGGGGTGACCGCCGACGATCTTCCAGATTCCAGTCTTTGAGTATGAGGGAAACCCTTCAAGTGGCGGAACTTCTATCGTTCCATATCCTTCCTTTTGGCCAGGGGGGGCGACCAAAGGCATGTACCACGCCTGTGTCACGCCTGTCATGCTCTTCCATCTCCCAAAAGCGCCCCCCAAAGGGCTCCCCCAAACTTCTGAAGCACCTGCTACTAGAATCTACTAGAAACCTAATAGCTACACCCCCCAAGAACCGTCCTCGCGGACCGTGGCACTGCGCTCGCGATCCTGCCGGACCACCGAGCGAGCTCGCGACACCGGGTCCATGGCTGGGACGGAGCGTGGCCCATCCACGCGATGTGGTGTGAACACGATCGTTTTGGGCCGAACCTTCTGAAGTTCAAACCCATTCTGGAAGGAGTCTGAAGGAGCAAGGGCGCTACTGGGGGCTCCTGGCATGGGCTCCTGGCCGTACTACTAGGAGCAAGGACGCTACTGGGGGCTCCTGGCATCGCTACTAGGAACAAGAAGCTAGTAGGGGCTCCTGGCCGTACTACTGGGAGCAA